GAATATGAGCATATACATCGTGCGGAATTCTCAAAGAACTAAAAAAAAAAAAATTTTTGTTTGTTTGTTTTTGAGACAGGTTTTCTCTGTGTAGTCCTGGCTGTCCTGGAACTCAACTTCGTAGACCAGGCTGGTCTCAAACTCAAGAGATCCGTCTGCCTCTGCCTCCCAAATGGTGGGATTAAAGGCATGCACCACCACCACCTAGCCAAAAAAAAAAAAAATTTAATTGAAAAAATTTGCAAGAGAGTCTTAAAATAGCCAATTGAAGATGACAGAGAGTGAATAAAACTGAGCATAAAGCACCTATCCAATAGGAAGGATAGAGAAAATAAGCACATAAAATAGAATTTGAGTGATGTTTAAACCAATATCAAAAGATCTTAACAAAATTAAGGGACCCAGACATGAGAAAATGGAGAGGGGCAGAAAATGAATCCATAATGGGAAAAAAAAGACAAAATACGCAAATTTAAATTAAGAAGCGGAGTGACCTATGCTCCCAGCAGGATATATGAAAACAAAGTAAACAAAAATAACCATATTTTACATTTCAATTGCTGAAGTCAAAGGAAGAGAGAAAATACTGACAAAAGAGGCAGTTAGTATCCAGGAGCATTAGCTTGGGGAAATCCCACTGTGGTGATGGAGTGGAGGGACAGGATGACCGCAAGGATGAAGCATCAGCCTCCGTGCAGACCCACATCACCCGGCCCTCTCGCTGCGCAATGCTGAGTATCCGGTGCTCATCAGGTATCATAATTGAGACGGGAAAGTCAGAATTCAGAGGCTGGGCGTAATAACATTCAAGGTGCTTCACCGTGCGCTGGAAACTGAGTTTATCATCAGGATACTGAGGATACAGGGAATACCTGTCAAACAAGGCTCAGACCAGGAAGTCTGAGCTCTGGCCACACTCCACCTTACTCCAAATCTTTAACCATCCGTGTGTTAACAGGAAGCTTTGAGAAATACAGGACACCGTAAAGCTCACTCCACTGTTTCTTGTAGTCTTCACCCCTGGAGACATTAGTTCTCCAAATACGCTTTTTTTCTATCAACATTTGCTTTCCCATATGGCTACAGCGTGTTGCACTGCGATTTGAAAGTGTTCTGGGGAGGCTGGGAGGCTGGGCAGTAGACTGACCATGACAAGCCAGAGATGGGAACCAGGGAGTGATGGGTCGTGAGAGGAAGAAAAGGGAGTGAGAAACGCTGCGGAGGGATTCCTGGTTTTGCTTAAGCATTCTTATCACCAGTGGGTATTAGAGGCAAAGCTTGGCCTCTTTGACTATGCCTGTGATTAATACCATTTCTCAGGGTTGTAATGACAGATTGGTCAGCCCTTGGCCATTGGCTCTTGGGGCTTGCATAGGAGAGGAGACCTTTCACCAAGGGGGCATGCCCCTGCCAAGTTGGACTGCAGCTCCCTGTGCAGAACGCGTCTCTCAGCAGCAGCAGCTGTGTCCACTTGCTTCTCTTCCCAACTTGTCTGGCCCACCCCTCTCCTGCCCAGTGGCCCTCATTCTCCCACCCAGACGCAGATGAATACATCTTTCTTTCAGCAAAGGAACTGCCCCCACCTTGTTGACTTGATGAAAGCTTTACGAGTCAATCTTAGGTTTAAAAAAAAAAAAAAAAAAAAAGAACAAAGTGAAGAGAGAGAGAGAGAGAGAGAGAGAGAGAGAGAGAGAGAGAGAGAGAGAGAACATGCAGGGGCAGAGGTTACAACAGCTAGAAAAGAGATGCTGAAATTTTTATTACAAACTAAGAGGGGTGAGGAGCAATAAATCACTCGTGTGTCTGCCATAAAGACTAGCAAACAAGGCTGGTATTCAGGAAGAATTGTACTTGTGTGTACCTCCTTTGAACTTGAAGCAGGCCAAGGCACTGTTGCCCACTTCAGCCTCATGCTACTTTTTCCTCTTTTCTCAACCCAAAGAACAAATAAAAATCACTTAAAAGGGTGGAATAAAAGAAAAAACCATTAATAGCCTGAGGGGTGTGGCCCTTGGCTCCGCCCCTCCTGCAGAGAGAAGGTTAAGAAATTAGACAGGGGAAGCAAGCTTTTCCCAATAGATGTATTTTTTTTTAAACTGTGTCTGTGTCTGCATGTCTGTGTGCGTGTATGCATGCATGTCTGTGTGCATGTGCGTGTATGTGTGCATGTGCGTGTATGCATGCATGTGCATGTGTGTTGGTGTGTGTCTCTGTATGTATGTCTGTGTGTGGGGGGGTGGGTGTGTGTTTATGTTTCTCTGAGTGTGGGTGTGTATGTGTGTGCATGTATCTGTGTGTGTCTCTGTATGCGTGTGTGCTTGTGTCTGTGTGTGTGTGTGTGTTTCTCTGTGTGTGGGTGTGTATATGTGTGCATGTGTCTGTGTGTATCTGTGTGTGTGCTTGTGTCTGTGTGTGTGTGTGTGTGGAGTGTGTGTCTGTATGTGTATGTTCTTCTTGGGTCTTTTTCGATTTTTTACTCGAAGTTTAAAATGCTTTGCCTTCACATATAGAACCCCTTTCAAAGAAAATGTATGTTCTTCAAGAAGAGCATAGATGTGAAGGGAATATGCCAAAAATCAAGCCTGTTCCATCACACACTGGTACCACTGTGTCTCCACAACAAACGTCTCTAATAGTTCCAATATTCACACCTCTGGTGGAATTGCAATTATTTTTATTCAGCCTTACAGAACTATGACCATTCCTTCCTTTGCCTTTTGGATGCTCTCTGGAGATGTTTTTAAAAGTAAGAAGCTCCGTGGAGACGAAGAGTGAATGATTCTTCATGCGGATGATTCCAAAGGTGGTGACGACGGTAGGGTTTGTTTGGTTTTGACAATGGCATTTGCAACAGTGACTGGAACGCTCTTAACTCAGCCAGCTCCACAGAGAGGAGCCTTCAAGGAGAACAACCGTCAGACCAAGGACAACGCTGAACTTTTGGGAAAACGTGGCCCATTTCCCTTCGAAAGAAAACTCTTACTGTTATTACTCGCCCCTACCTCTGGTTATCCCTGTCAGCGCTCTACAAAGACAATGTCTCTACTGGTTTGGAGCTGGAGAAAAGGTGACTTTAAGAACAGATTACAAGATCTCCTCAGAGCCCTGTGGAGAGTCAGAACTTGCCCGTGCTCTTCTGTCTAGGGGTCATTTCTTCCTTCTGTTTCTCCCATCTTAGCTACTCTGGCTTATGGCAGCTTCTAATTGCTTTTGCCCATTTTGTCTCATTTGGTTCTTGCAAACGTCCTGTAAAGTGTGCATGCAATCCTTCTCCTAAATCCCATCTGATTTATGGGGGGATCGAGGTCCTGTTACAGGAAGAGAAAGGGTGAGCTGATGATCTTCCATTTCCTGTCAAGGAAGACTGCTCCACCGTGTGTTTGGTTTCTGTCTTTTGTCTTTTTTAAAAAAACTAATATACTCAAATCACAGGTAAGTGAACTATTTTCTGCAATGAAGTAGTTGAGGAAGCTAGCTTGTTCTCTTCATTGAACATAGCTCTCTACCAGACCTAACAGACCTAAATTAGCCGAAACCGTTAGAAGAGTACTCTTAACCTAAACTTCCACCATCATTTTACATTCGTGCCCCACCCCATCCTTGCCATTACTGGCATAGCCAAAATGGCCAAGAAGAGCTGTGTCTAATCAATAACCAGTGCTCCACCCCGCTCGAATCCACACTGCTGTGCTTGCTACTGGATGCTCCTGGTCTCAGGGTGAGACTCTCAGGGGACGCATTTTACAACATAAGTCATTCACCTGCTTTGTGAAGGAAGGTGAAGTGATGTGGAATATTCCCTGACACTGTGTGAAGATGTGTCACTGTGACTGGTTTAATAAAGAGTGGAATGGCCATTAGATAGGCAGGAAGAGGAGGTAGGCAGGACTTCTGGGGACAGAGAACTCTGGGAAGAAGGAGGAGGAGGAGTCAACAGCCAGAAGAAGAACAAGCAGCTTGGGCAGTACCTGGAGATGAGGTAATAAAGCCACGAGGCAGAAAGCATACCAATAGAAATGGGTTAATTTAGGTTATAAGATCTAGTTAGAAACAAGTCTAAGCTAAGGCCAAGCTTTCATAATTAATATAAGTCTCCATGATCATTTGTGTGTGTGTGTGAGCTGGTGACCAAGAAAAGCCTGACTACAGTGAAGAACTGAAGTCGATCCTGAACTTAGAGGTGCCACAGTGCTAGGATTCAGAGACTCAGAGGAAATTTTTTCTAAGTTGGAAGGGACCACAAAGATCTTTTCAACTTGCTGAATTTACGTAATGTTGAAGGTGAAGAGGAAGAGGATGCAGAGGGATGCTTCGATCCTGAAATGCCCATGGCTATGATGGGTGAGCATTCAGGGTAGAAAGAATAAGGCAGACATGTCAAGATTGCTTAGAATGTTCTAGCCAAAATCTGAGCCTGTAATGCTCTGTAAAAATGATTTTGAAAGGGCAAGATGTTTTTATAACTAGAACTCAAGGCACCTCGTTCGTTGCTCATCCATCATCTACCATTTTCCTTAAATAAATTGGGATTTATTCTTCAGCTCAGAGCAGGGAGGAGAAATGTCCCTGAATATCACAACACAAGTTTGACTTGTTTAATGACGTGGGTTGGGGGGTGGGGCCTCCCTTTTTAACTCTCTCTCCTGAGACTTTGGTTGACCTATGTCCTCAGAAAGTGTCACCTGAACATTATATTCTCTTTCTCTTTCAAAATCATCAACCAGTTTCCCAAGATTTCGAGACATTTGGAACCACAGACATACCATGGAGGCCTGAATGGTTTACAACATCTATGTGTGTGTGCATGCTTCCCAGAGGGTCTCTAGCTTCCAGCATCTTCTAAGTGGTTTCCATTGGTTGCTGTTGTTGTTTTCCTGTTAGTTTATTTATTTTATGTAAAGAGTGTTTTGCCTATAAGGATGTAAGTGCACCATGTGCATGCCCGGTGCCCACAGAGGTCAGAAGAAGGCCGCTTCAGATTCCCTAGAACTGCGGTTACAGGTGGTTGTGAGCCACCATGTGGGTGCTGGAAATGGAACTGGGGTCCTCCTCAAGAGCAGCAAGTGCTCTACCCACTGAGAACTGCCCCCAGCTCCCCTTCTGAGTGTTTTTCACAGGATACAGCTCACTCCTGCTGAAGGAGCTCTAGCTCCCAGCACTGGGTATCAGTTGCTGAGGCTACTGAGCCCTAAGAAAGGGGAAACAGCACAGATTCATTTTCTTACAGTTCTAGAGGCTGCGAGTCCAAGCCCAAGGCATCATTAGGCTTCTACTGAGGCCCCTTTCCTTGACTTGGATACCATCAGCTCCTCCTCCTTTCGTGGCCTTGTGGTCTTTCCTCTGGATGTATATGGGTCCTTGTCCTCTAGTTGTCAAATGGTGCTTCACTTGCTCACAATAACCTCTTCAATAAGCATAACTCTAAATGCAGTCAAATACAAGGTGCCTGGGAATCAGCATTTACACACGAATTTTAGACGAACAGAATTATATTGTTTTTTCTTTAATTGTGTAGGGAATTGAGTTGTGGAAAGATATGAGAGCTGACCTTGAGAAATAGATGATGAAGCCAGCTCTTGGACCCAACCAAAGCCAATGCTCCTGCCCTTAATAGGTTTTTAAGGAGCCCATGGTTTAGCGGAGGTAGACCAACAAATAACGTTGAGTCAAGTTCTACACGTTTCCAAATGTATGATGCTGAGGTGGGTCACATCTTGATTTCAGGGAGACCCTTTCTTCCATAGGGGCACGTGTCTGGAGAACTTCTGAAAGCCCTGCAACCGAGACCCCTGCGCTTTCTAGACTCTGCTCTCTGGGGATGAGCTGTCCATGGTGAGGTGGGTGGGTAAGGAACACAGGGAGGAGGGAGGAGCCTCAATGCCCAGCTGGAGACAGTGCCTCCCTCCCCTTGGAGCTGCTGACAACCCCCTGATGCTGTAGTCTGATCTGAGGAACTTATGTTCTCGGCTTTCACTTTCTGGGGTAATAAGCTTTCAGCCTCATGCCCGGGAACACTCCCAAATGAGGGCGACTGCCGCTCAGCTGTAGATCACCTTTCAATAGCGGGTTGACAGGAAGAACAATGCATGTGTTTGCTGCTGTCGAGTCTTTCCGGGGGAGGATCTGTCAGCGTGCGGTGAGTGTCAAAGGGGACCAGGCTTCCTGTGACTGTCAGAATAGAGTCGAGAGAAAGACGAGTTCAAACCTGCTGACACTTCTGGGTAGAACTGAGCCACCTTCTCTCATGAGTTTCTGCAGAAATAAACTCTGTTCTAGTTAAAGGAGGCTTTTAATGTCAACAATAGCATACTGCCAATTAGGGCTTTGCTTTCTTTTTTCCTGAAGAGTAGTTACCCTATACAACACATACACACTCATGGGTGCATAATGAAGGAGGATAATCCTCTCTCTTTATAGAAATCCACATTTACATCTAGTAGAGCTTCTGCGCTTCCCCCTACCCCCATCCCCATTGATATTTTCTGGGCTGAAGGCAGTCCCCAGCTTCCCAGAAGATCCATTCCAGCCATTTGGAAGAGGATAAGCAGAGCATTGTTTACCACTGACCTCTAGTGGAGCCAGCCTTCTATTAACTGGCTGACCAGGTGGGAGAGTGGGCAGAGGTCTCAGGTACTAGGAATTCACCCTGAAGCTCTAGGCACTGTGGCTGACAGGAGCAATCCTCTGTGTTTCTCAGGGGCAGGTGCTGGATAGAGATGGGTTTGTCTGGAGCACTCGCCCCGTGGACACCTCCACCTCACTTTACAGATTGACAGCCAGCCGCTGTGAAAGGCCCAGGGAAGGTGCTTTGAAGTGTCTGTGACATTGTGCGCTAAGGTTGAGTGTCACCCCACCACCGCTGCTTTTAGCTATATCTGTCAGATTTCTCTACATCTTACTTTTTTGCAAAACAGTTACCTTGAGTGTCTCTCTGTTCCTATCCAGCTTGACACAGGTGCCCTGTTTGGAATTCAGAAATAATGGCATCCTAAAAGAGTGAAATTCAGAGAAAAGAAAATACACCACTAGAAGTCATTTCACAGCACAGTTTCCTTCTCAGTGCCATGGAGAGGTCCCCAGATACAGCACCGGCTTTTTTTTTTTTCCTTTTGAGATAAGAGACCCTCAGAACTCATGGAGAAGAGATGCTACCAGATGAAAAGATGAATAAAAACATACTTCAAGGATTTATGGGAGAGGCTGGAGAGATGGCTCGGTGATTAAAAGCACTTTCTGCTCTTGTGGAAGAGGAGGAGCTTTGGTTCCCAGGACCCACATTGGTACTCACAACTGCCTCTAACTCCAGTTCCAGAGGATCTGGTGCCCCCCTCTGGTCCCCATGAGCACTGCGTGTGTGTTACATACACACACACATACACACACACACACACACACACACACACACACACACACACACACAGGCAAACACTGATATGCATAAAATGAAGTTAAGTAAAGTTCTAGAAGAGAAAAAGGCCTGTGGGAAAAGGAGGCACTTGGAAGAATCAAAAGGCTCCTCTTTTGGTGGCAACTGACCTGCATCCCACATTTCAATCTAGAGGTTATTTATACTGACAAAGTGCCCTAAACGTAGAGATTTCTGTGGTTCCATTAGTCAAAGGCTGAAACTGTCCAAATTTTACCTCTTCTAATAAATGAACAGGGTTAAAACTCCCATTTACCTCCTTCCATCCCTCCAAGGTCCTGTGAGCCAAGTAGCACTTTGTTTTAAAACACAGTGAAGGACACAACTTCCTACTTTATGCACTCGAGATAATATTTTTATTACACTTATTTTTATGTGTTCATGCTGTATGTGCGTGAGTTCAGACACTCCACGGTGCTCACATGGAGGTCAGAGGACAAGTGAGAGAGTCAGTCTGTCCTTCCACTATGTGGTTCTTAGGTATCAAACTCAGGTCATCAGGCTTGTCTGCAAGGCCCTTGACCAGCTGAGCTGGCTCACTGGTCATTCTTTTTTTTTTTTAAAGGGGAATTACATTGAAATGAAAGAGACTTGCTCAGTCACCAACTCACATGATACAGACCGAAAATGTCCCCAGGACTCAAATATTGAAACGGACTGGTCGATGTGATAGTTAATAATTAGGAATCAGGGCATTTGGGAGGTGACAAGGCCATGTGACCTCCACCATGATAAACAGAATATAAATCTCCTACATAAAGGTCTGAAGGGCTGTGTTTGCCCCCCCTCCCCACACACACACCCTTCCTGTTCTTTCTGGAATATGAAGACTCCATAAGGAAGCACCATGTGTAGGGAAGAGCTCTCCCCCAAGCCCTGAATCTGCTGGCACTTTGGTTATGGGGTTCTCAGTTGTTGGAGAAACCAATGTACATTGTTTATAAATATCAAAAGTACTTTGTCATTGCGGTTAGACGAGGCGAAGATATTACTATAATGAATGAATTAAATGATCCAGTAATTTAGGGGTTTTTCTTAGCATACAAACTCAGTTAATAGTCCCAACTATACATCTTGACTCCTCTCTTTTGCTCAGGTAGACTTCTGCCCTTTCTGTTAACTTGCCCAGTGAATGTGCTCATGGAGCCCCACAAGCCCTCTCTAACTGGTATAATCTTTTCTGTTTGACCCATGCTACATCCCTCTATTACCTGTGCATGTCTAAATATCTATCCTGCTGGACCATCATCCTGGTGGCTCCTGGAACCTTAGAGCTCTTCTGAACATGACTTTGGAGTGAATGATGTCACAGCTGGCCCTGTGAGGGCTGGTGTTGGTGGCTCACCCACTAGCATCACCCCAGCTCTTCATTGTCATTCTCTGAGTTCGAGGCCAGCCATGGCTACAGAGCAAGTTCCAGGACAGCCAGGGCTACACAGAAAAACCCTGTCTCAAAATATCAGGAGGAGGAGGAAGAGGAGGAAGAAGAAGGAGGAGGAAGAGAAGGAGGAAGAAAGAAGGAGGAGGAGGAGGAAGAAGAAGAGGAAGAGGAAGAGGAGGAAGGAGAGTCCTGTTTATTAAATATTATTGACTGAAGACAGGTAGAAAATAATTAGGATCGATGTCATCTCTAAGCTGTCCGTATCTCTTACCCGTGACAGTAACAGTGAAGGGAATCCCAGTTGATAGCCTTTGCCTACTTCTGAAAGTTTGAGGTGTTTACACTGCTTTTGCTGCTGGGACCTAGTGAACTTCCCTCCAGTAGCTTGTGAAATCAGTAGCTCTCAGAAGTAGGGGGTTTGTCCCTGTGACACGGCAGAGAACCCGTTTTCTATGCTTTGAGTCTCAACAGAGGCCACAGTTTTGTCTAGAAAATTTCTTCAGGAATTTCCCGATTTCCAGTTACTTTTCTTCTTGTGTCAGAAATGTTAGTTTTAATGGTTGGGCTGAGCCATTAACGTTTCTCTGAAAAGATCAAAATAGCAAATAATTTAGGCCTCCTGAGGCCACTGAGGTGCAAGAATGGTGGTAGATAACATGTAAACAAATGGTCCTGAGTACATTTTTAATATAAATATAATAATATAAGAAAACTTTAATTATGGTCCACCGATGTTAAATTTTGTAACATTTCCATGTACCAAATAGTACAAAATAGTCTTACAGTTGTCTAAGTTATTCTAAGTATAAACGAACTCCTTGAAGCTCCTTGGCTGTACAAAGCTCAAGTGACAGGTCAAGCTTAGCCTCTGTCCCCAGCTTGCCGGCTGACCTCTACTACAGAAGACAACTGTCTTCTGGGCATCTGCTCCTCCGAGTGCAGCCTGCTTCCGGTGGCGCTCGCTCTGACAGCTTGATTAGGGTGTCTCATCAAATCTGTGTAGTGAAATAAATGAGGGCAGGTCCCTCTCTGCATCTCTGTGCGGTGTGCGGTGTGTTCACTTCACGTATCAGATTCCGGTGCGGAAAGCGCTGTCGGGCCGTTAATAATTTTCAAGGGAACGCCTTGAGACTCGCTGGGCTGCAGGCGCGCTGCAAATGGGCTCTAATGGCTTTTATTTCTCTTTCTTGTCACCTCAGATCTAATCAGCTGTTTTGTCATTTTTAATTCCGATTTGGCAGGATTCTCCAACTTCCCCCCAGCCTTTTTAGATAGCGGCTCAAAGAGGAGCCAAGCCCTGGGCCTTTGGGGACTGGGAAGAGCCTGGGGCCTAGTAAAGGGCTGACTTAGACTTTGGCTAGATGAGGACTGAGGAGCTACAACTGACCCCAAAGGACTCCCCTTCTTATTCTCCGCCTCCCTAGTAGGGTGCACTGATGCTCTGAAATTATTTTCTCTGCACACGGAATCTTTAGTCCTTCATCAGAAATGAGTTGCAAAGTGCTTATCATTCTGTGTGGCCTTGAAGAGGAAAAGCGCCTAAGGGCCTCCTAAGATTTAGGGATTTTTTTTCCCCCATGCTGAGGAATTGAACTCTGACCTAGTTCCTCTAGACTGGAGCATCCAAGGCACTTGTCTGACTTTTTCCTGCCTTTGACGATGGCCCCACCTACTGAAGACAGCAGTCAGAAATGGTGACCAACAAATCAATCTATTAAATAAATATAAGACTATACTGAAATCCAAGAACCTTTGAAATAAACGAATAGCGAAATTAATAAGAACTTAGCGATGGTCATTGTCTTTACATCCTGGGTATCACACTGAACGTCTCAGATGAATCTTGACCTCAAGGATGCTGTAGTTTTCCTTTTTTTTTTATCTGTACAAGATGCTCAGCAGGCAGGCAGTTACTCAACTAGCAAACAGCAGACACAGTTTACAAGCGGAGACAGGTCTGGCTTCAATGCCTGGTATCTTAATTACCCATTAGGTGGTTGCAAGTCTTTGCCCACCTCTTTACCTCTCAGAGCCTCAGTGCCCTTGGCTCATAAACAAAGCTTGAGGCTATAAAAAAAACCCCTTCCTTCCTTTCTAGTCCAAACCCCAAAGTATCTTCACTCCCCTACTTCCAGGGAGAGAAAAAACTTACAAAAGGAGAGGAAAAAAGAACCCTAAATTTCCAGGGTTTGGATTTAACAGGTTTACTTGTATATCTTAGAGCTCCACATCTTCTTTTCTACACACCTTCAAATTTTTGGGGAGTGTTGGGGAGGTGTTCCATTACTGAGCTATGCATCCAGCCCTGCATATCACCTCTACATACGCCAGAATGCAAGCATGCAACAACAATCTATAATAAGCCCAAAGGCTCCAGCCCCTAGACGTGGCAGAGACATAATGAGGACCTGCTTTGAGCATGTTTGCAGAAAGCTTGTAAACTCTCTCACTGGGTTGGTATAAATCAAAGTAAAGAACTTTCTCACTCAAAAACTCAAGGTTCTGAATTATTTAAAAACCATTATATACTTCACACTTGATTTATTAAGACAAAAAATAGTTACTTGCAAAAATTTTCAGCAAGATTGGAGTTCTGGGCATGTGGGGATTTAGGGACATATCTTTAATGCACTGCTTAATATGGAGGACTGCTATTTAATTTTGTAACCGAAAATAACCTATTAGCTAACACTCCTCCCCCTGTTCTTGCTACGGTCAAATACTAAGCAACAGAGACAGAGAGGCTGGAACTGTGAAATCCAATGTCCTTTCTTGAACATTTCCAAACTGAACACACCACTAAATGCATACATACATACATACAATCTCTTTCCATCCAATCAAAACCAGAAACTTAAGACCTACCCCAGCGGAAGCATGAGGAATTGGAGGAAGATGAAATCTCCATATGAAACCCAGTCATAGAAATCCAGTAATATTATCCAGTCAGCTCAAGTAGAAAGGCTATTGCCCCTGGCCCAAAGCACACCAACTGTGGCTTTAAAAAAAAAATCAAGAGCAAGGATCTGGCAACAAGTATATTTCCTTCCCTGCCTTCCAGGCTTAGCTGAATAACCTGTTCCCAGCCTCATTTATATACTTCAACATCTCTCAAAACATTGACTGTTCGAATACTCTTCAGAAGAAATCTATTTGAGGACCTTTAAGTTGGGGTTCACAA